CGCACCCCCCCACCCCGCACCCCCCCCCATCGGAGCACCAATTCTGGACTTCGGTTTGCTGTTCTTACCTAACTCCTCATGCTTGCCTTGCGACGATGACTCCTCTTCCTTGAAAGCGGTAATACCTTCCACAACCCCGAGGAAGTGTATCCGCCAATCACAGGAGCATCATGAACTAACGTGATACGCACCGCTATAAATCATAATCCGATCCCTGGGCAAGGGTACTAAATGAATGACATTTCCTTCGTGCCATGCCAGGTGTGTGCACAGACAAACTCTTTCACAAAGTGTACGAACTCCGTAGCACGTAACTGGGTCATGTAATCCAACTCCAATCTGATGATCGTCCCAGCCTTGGTACTCAACCTGTAGGTGACTGGCTCTAACGCTAGCATAACTATGATGGGCAAGCATCTACGACGGAGCATTCTAATACGACTTGTCGAAGCAAGAGTTTCAAAATCGGTCTCGAGATTAGGACTCGAGATTAGGACTTGATGTTAGGACTTGATATTAGGATTGATTCAACATTAGGATTCAAGACTAGGAATCGGTAGTCAGCTGACAAATTCCCGGCCAGAAGCGAGCAATGCATTGAGATGTCCTAAAGAACACACATTTGTGCCGTGAGGTGAAAGGTTTTGGCAAACAGTAAAGGGCGTCCTACGTGCAGATTTTAAGTAGATTGCAGGCGTAAAGGTCAGAAGGGAAGTTGCTCTTTAGAATGTTGCATAGTTGCTGACACCACCAGTCGTACTGTCGGGCGCCGTCCACAGCTCGAACCAAGCCCATACAGGAAGAAGCGGTTTCTCCATTCGTCACGCAATCGCGGACGCCGTCTGTGTCAGGTCTAGTGGATGCGTCAGGAACCTTATCGGCGCTCTTTGTGGTCATTCGGATACTGGTTGTAGGAGTCCCCGTCGTGGTAGTCATGGTAGTCGTCGTGGTACTCGTGGTAGACATGGTGGTCGTCGTGGTAGGCATCGTGGTCGTCGTGGTAGGCATCGTGGTCGTCGTGGTAGGCATCGTGGTCGTCGTGGTAGGCATCGTGGTCGTCGTGGTAGGCATCGTGGTGGTGGTGGTGGTAGTCGTGGCGGTAGCGCCGGAGGACACGGTGATGAGTCCTCCGTCGAACGCGGAGTCGGTAGAGGGGACGAGCGGATCCGGCAAGGTCAGAAGCCCATTGTCGACGGGTACGGTGCTGGTGGTGCTGTAGTGCCACCTCTGGACAGTTACAGGGGAGCCCTGAAGTACAACCTTAGTGCCGTCAGCGTGATCTTTGAGTCCGGTAGTGACGAAGCCAGGCGCACTGCCGCGGCCCGGAAGGGAGAGTCCGGTCGGGGAGGGTCGGGTTGACGAGGGCGAGGGGAGCGGAGGGAGTACCGGGGGCGGTGGAGGGAGTACCGGAGGCGGAGGCCACTTTGTACTTATTGGTCCAGTGGTCGGCGGCGGTCCAGTGGTCGGCGGCGGTCCAGTGGTCGGCGGC